AAAAAAAGTGCAATGTATTAAGAGCTCTGCTGTTGGTGGTGTCAACATAGACAAAGACAATTTCCTGGTTTTAGTCATTGCATGGAATATAAAATGAATCTCATTTATGGACATTGTATGTTCTTTCAAACAATGAACGATTCTCAAGAGAAAGGCAAACCGAGACAAGAATGACCTCTCTCTTTTCTGTCTCTCATCATGTGTTATAAAACATTGACTTGTAACCATCGATGTGTCGAGCCATTGAACATGCAGGTGGTTTATATTCTCTTTTGAATAAAATTCATGAGGAAAAAGGTGGGATTTTCTTCAAAGAAAATAAATTAAATTAGAATACGCTTCATCTTAATTCAATATTTAACATATTCTTAACACTTAAAATAAGTAAGTAAGTCGTATTTTATTTTTATCATTAATTCGTTTTGTTTTAATTTTAATATAGATAAATAAGATAATGAAAACATGAACATATGTTCATACGTACAGAAGAAAGATTAGACGTCTCTGTTCATCAATAGAATACAGGGTTGGTCTGCACGATATACATAATAATATGTATGTATGTAGAATAATTTCTAATTTGGTATCCATACAAAAGAAAATATCATCTTACATGACACTGTAGGTGTCCATGTTTTTTCAACTTTTTTCTACAATTATTTCGAGAAGTTATTTCTTTAAGAAAAGACCATATCAATTAAAATGACCTCTTTTGTTTGTCTATATGCGTGTTGACCTTCTCTTTCTTCTTCTCTGTATATGTATGTATGTGTGTATGTATGAATGATGAAAACGACGAGTCTAATTCCAGATAGTGAAGAAAAGGAGAGGGAGAAGAAGAAGAAGAAAAAAAGGAATGAAATATGTTCTGTTTCTTCTCTATTTGACAAATATTAGATGAGAGAAATAGATGAAACGGAAATCGAGACATACTGAACGTAAAAAAAAGAAAGAATGTTCCTCCTATTCATTGTCGAATTAGAACAAGTAAGACTTCTTTATTTTAATTATCATTCGATACGTTTTTCTTGATGTTTAACAATGGTCAAATGATGATACATATTCTACTATTGAAAGTCATTGAGTCACTCTTCCGGAAATCATTTTTCTTTACCTCAATGAATCTGTTCTATTGAAGGAAACAGATGATCTGACCAAGGCTAACAAGACTCTTTCATCATGTTCGTATAGTACATCAACAATGTGCACACCACGCGTGCCAGATTATTTGAGCATTTTCTTCTTTTTTTTTTTCTTTTTTGCATAATCATTACGACGTGTAGAAATCCAATGAAGCAAACGTGATGCGCGGATAATGAGTTGCGACGGTGGAATTATTTAGTGTCAAAAGAGTCAAAAAAGAAAGATTATTGATAGTGAAAGACTATATATATGTATGTGCTTCAATGATTCTTAACATTGTGTCACTTCACAAATCAGAATCATCATAAACAACGCTCGGATGATTTTTAATCAAGAAAAAAATGTATTTTATTTCAATTCTCATTTTAGATATTAATTATTACTGAGAATTAAAAAAATGAAAGGTAAAAATTCTCTTGTTCAATTGTTATTTCACCTGTTTAGATTCTTAAGACACTTAGAGCAAATGAAAATAATATTCGTATAGATGAGTGTGTTGATAAACATCATATTTATTGCTTAGAGGCGTTTTATTTTCTATAAGAAATCGAAATCTAACACTTGTTTTTATTTATCGATATGGAATAGAACAGATGTTGATTAACTTCCCCACAGCGATATATATAACTTTGTCATCACTATAATTAAACGTTTATCTCTTTTCTAGACTTTTATGCATATAAATGACTTGTCTGTTATGTTCTATTGTCTATTACATAATTCCCATAATATTTTCCAATAAAGAGAGAGAGAGAGAATGTCCTCAGTTATTTATATCTATCATTTTTATGGAACAATTGCGAGAAGAGAAGAAAAAGTAAAGTTATTAATTGATTTTATGTATACGTAAGACGCAAAAATTTGATAAACTATACTAATCGATTGACCACGTATGACAAAGATTAAAATCTTTACACATTTGTGTTTTGTATATATGTATGTAAGGTGAAATGATAACGAATAGCGTTATTGTCAAAATAATGACATAAGATGAAGCGAAGAGTTCATTTTGTTTAATTAGATGGGTTACATCATGACGATGAGTATACACACACTCTTTCTTTTTCGATGTACGTCCAGACATTAGTATAAAATACGTGGATCGAATAACAAACAGGATTAAATGGATGTGTGTAAAAGGAGAATAGATGTGCCTTTGAGCAGCGACCATCGGCTTAGTAAAGGAGATTTTACTACAAAAAAAAAAGAAAGAAGGAAAGATTATTTGTCACGTTTGTTCATTGAACTATTTTAATTTGAAAAAAAAAAAGAAACTGCAAATGAAAGAGTAGTTTTTCTATGTCTTATGATCATTAATGAAATGATTAGTAGTTAATAAAAGAATGTATGTTAATATTCTTCTAATGATAAATGTCTATATAATTGAATAAATAAAAAGCGGATAACCTTGAGATAAAATATATCTAAATGTTTCAAAATGACAAGTCTTTCATTCATATTATTCACATCGATAAGTTTCTTTTTCTTTTTTTCTCAATTGAATAGAAACAAATCAATCATATATATGTATACAATGTTGTTCTCTTCTTCTTCTTCTTTTACATAACATTCATCGAACCATAGCCTATCATCTAGCATATGTGATGACAAGAACTTTTCATTGACATAAACTTGTGCCAAAAAAAGATAACAACTAGTGTTGGTGTCATTCAATAGCATTTCTTTCTTTTCTTCCCTCATCTATATGTAATAATGAGAGCATATTCTCTTTTTTTTCTACTTGAATAACAAAGAAGAAGGAGGGAGAGAGAGAGAAGAAAAAATGAGAACTTCGATCTAATCACATCTGCCCACCGGGTGAATAAATGTATATGACTTTGGTTTAATCAAGGACAAGAACTATTCATTTATTAAATAAGAATATTCTTTTATTAATTAAAAAAACTTTTTTTTCTCTTTCCTTGTGATGTTGAAAAAGTAAATAACATAAGTATAGATAATTATTTTGTTCATCCAATTGTAAATTGTAATATATTTTCTTTTTTGCTTCAGATGACGAATGATGGTCTACGTCAACTTCCTCCTCCACCTCTATTTACAATTCGTCCTCCACCAAAACCACCTGGATCAATATTTGAACATTTTCAAACAGTTGAAATCTTAAATGGACAATGTGTAATACCAACATTAAATATACTTCAAAATTCAACTTCTATTTCTCGTGAAAAACATATACAACAAATTAATTGGTTAAATCTATTTCTTCTTATATTAGCTTTAATTAGTGTTATTTCTTGTATTATAATTGCTATATTTATTTTTATTTGTCTCAGGTAAATTGAGAGAAAAATATTTGATTGATTAAATAAATTTTCTTTTTTTTCTGTTTAGAAAATTAAAAAATGAAGAAAAACAATATAAAAATTATGTTTTATCAGGTTCATTATCACGAAATCCTCATCAGTCAGATCTATGTACAAGAACAAATGAACATTATAAAGTAAGAATTTTCGCAACAGGTGTAAAACACTTAACACGATTTTCTTTATCAATGTGAATGAATCTATAGCGGATATTGATAATAGACATGTGAGAAAAGCACTTGATGAATATAACATCTGGAAAATATTCTCTATTCAACATCAATACGGTTTTTTTTCTTCCATTACTTAGATTTCTAAGGTGAATAAATCATGAAAAAGAAAGAAAAATGAGCTAAGTTATTTTATTTCTTTCATTTATTATTTATTTCAAGGTTAATTTTACAAAAGATCTTATTTATCTTTTGTTGATTTAAACATTATTAAAAATAGATTGACATTCATTCGACCTTGAGGATTGAATTTAAATACAAGGATAGAATACTTCTTATTCTTAATGATTTCGTTTTTCTAGTGTACATCAAATAAATTGAATTGTTGTGATGATTATTATTCTCATCAATTAATCCCTTTGTCTGAAGCACCTCCATCGTCTGTCATTTCTCCTCATCATATTAAAAATTCAAATCATAATATTGATTCTCAATCGATTGTGAACAATGCCGGTGGTGGTGGTATTGATAACTCACAAAATCATCAATATGAATATATACCTGAATATTTATTAACAATGACTCGACGTCATCATCATCCACCAATCGTATGTCATCATCATCATCAACAACAACATCCATTATATCATCGACCTAATACATGTTCATTACCTTATGCTACTTTTTCTCGATCATTAATTCTTTCACAAGGAGGAACAACAGCAACTAATACAAGTGATAGCAGTCAATGTACGTGTTCTTCGCCACCATCAGCAGCAGCAACAGTCGTTCAAGAAGAATCATCAGTTCCTTTACTTGCTCCATCTATTCAGAAACAAGAAACATTAATATCATCACCGAAATCAATGAGAATTGGATGGACAAAACGTAATAATTCTTCGATATCAACAAAAAGAAAATCGACTGGTACTAATATTAAAGAACAACGTTATAGTTTTCTATCTCAATTAAGAAAATCATCTGTACTACAATAATGAACAATCAGATAAGAATACAGTGATTTATACTTTTTTTTTGCTTCTTTTGTTGTCTTGTTTTCATTTAATTGGAATTCGAAATGTTCAATTCTCAATTTTCGATTAAATAAAGCATATT